GTTAATTATACAAACCTTTCCTTGCTTTCGAGATCCACCGACTATAACAACATAAAAAATAGGAATTCAACTATACAGCCGTTTGAGATCACTATTAGAATTTTAGCTAACTACAACAATACAGAAAATTGGAATATAGTCAACTATACTGCCACATGAGATCACTGAATCAAGATTAATTTGCATAAGTCAAGATCAATCTCGATTTTTTTTTTCTTCAGAGATCAGAGTGATTGATTTTGTCAAAAAAAAATTTAAGGAATTTTTTTCTATTTTCCTTAAAACAATGATGATCATATTTAATGATTTTTTACTACTTTCTTTAACCAATTTTGTAAGAGCAAATTAGTCCATATTTTGTTTCTCTCCTAGATACCTAAATCTCATTATGTACATGGTAGTTACCTAAATATTTATCCCAAAACTAATTAACCCAAATAAACTAAGTGAAATTAAGCTTTCATAATTGAAAAATGCTTTACAGGAGTCTGAGGTAACTTCTTGAGATTTGGTGGCTGGCAAGATCAACTCATGTTTCCAAAAATAGAAAATGGAATGGGGTGTTCCGAGAATCGAACTCGGGACCTCTCGCACCCGAAGCGAGAATCATACCACTAGACCAAACACCCAGATGGTGTACTTGATTCATCAATTTGCCCTTTCATATCCAAGCTTTAAGAAAGCACAAAAGAAACTAAAAAGTGAAGAGACTTTCTTTATACAATGTTCGGTTCTGCGCAACCCGCTCAAGCCTAGAGGAACAGCAAATGTACAACAACTTTAAGCACATTGCCATCCTTCATCGCGGAGATAGCCGGAATATAATGATCTATATATGGTGTAAGCATTTTGCACAAAATGTTCTATATAACACGTTTAAAACCCCCAAGGATCAATTAATCATACAAAATTCATGGATCTATTTTAGTGCAAGGATAATTCAACCATACCACCATGGAGGGAAACGAGCAAAGCATATGTTTAACAACCATAAACTACATTTTTTGAAAGCTTAAGAATCTATTCTTCTGAACTCTACATTTTCATAGAAAGTGTAAACTTGATAAATGGTATGAATTAAATTTTCTTTTTGACAGAATCACATTTCTAAAACTTGAAAACATGAATAAATAGTTTATCATTCATCACAAATGTTTTTACGATTGCTTATTTTGCTGTATATCTCTATCAATAAGTGGTACTTGTTAAAAAGAAAGCAAAACATAAGTAAGAAAAAAACTTTCTACAAAGTTTAAACTTGAACGAAGTCTTACCTCTAGCTCATTTGTATAACAGAACCATACATTCATCAACCAGATACAATCCATCGTACACATCACGTCTCCTTTTATTTGTTGTCTATCACACCCTTTGATTTGGTACAATTAGTTAAATTTAATTTAGTTTTCTCTTCGAACCCAAACCGAACCAATCGAATTGAAATTTATATCTACAACATCATATTTGTGATACTTTTTAAAACAACTTAATTATTTGTTTGAAATAAATTTATAAATGTCTTTTTTTGTGAAAAAATAACTTTATATCTTTATAGATGTTCACCGCTGATAATTTCGTTTTCTAACACATTTTGTAATAATAATTGAAAAAGATAAAAATGGACGTAATCGATGAAGTACTCAATTCGATCCAGTGTTTCTGAAGAAACCGTGTTAGGATATGTCTTGACAATGAGAACTAATCCACCTCAGATATGTGTGCAAAGATAAACTAACCATTGCTCACGAAGAATGTGTCACAAAATGGTTTGCGGTAAAAAAACTCCACGTGGTGTGGTCAACCTATGCGGTAAGAATTTTGTTTTTGTTGGTATTTTATGAATATTGATATACAAGTGTAACTCAAATACGATGTGCAGTTTTCAAGAAAGGCATTACATACACAAACCCGACAAAATCACAAGTT